AAAAAAAAATACAAGAGGCTCCCTTCTGGGACCGTCAGATTTAAAATACCGAAGTCGTTACAAGTTGATATTTTTACCATAAAGCACCATATTCTATTCATACGAGCATGGTCGCTCTGCTTGCCAGTTTATGATATTGTAATAACAGGATGACATCCCAGAGAGTGTTATTCTTTTTTCCTGACACTAATCCCGTCTTTGTATGATCCTTTTGTTGTTTACAATACGTCAAGTTCAGAAATGATTAAGTTGTATTTCTTTGAGTTTTGGAGCTTTTGCCGACCGCGAGGTCATAGTAAACGCGTATGTCGACGATCGTGTTGTGCTCGGCAGTTCGTACCGTTTTCGACCCCGTGCTGATTTGAACAAGTGCTCTGAATATTTGGCAACTAAGCCAGCGTCCTAGCCAAAGGTGTGTGATGGTTTTTGATTGTTTGCATACCGTTCAATTTGTCGACATAATTAAGTTGCTTGATCGCAATTTCGAGCCCTATTTACTTAAATTTTTATTTGTCTCGATTATGATATTCCACTCCTTTTGTACCAGTTTTAAACGACGCGAGCGATTTTGTCCAGCCTTCGGACTGTCTTCTCTTTTAGCCTATGCGAGTCTTTCGAGATGTGTTTCGTGATGTTTTTGCCTCTAAGAGATCAAGCGATAGTTTCATTTCTTATTTAAATGCTTAGAAACGATGCACTAAACATTTCATGAATAGATCGATGGAAGATGTATATTCACGTTACCAGTCTTTTCCTTATGTGATAAACTTGGCCTTTACGAGGCGACTGAGTAAAGGGGTCAGCTATATAGTCACTGTTATCTTTTTACAGACCGACAATTACTTTTCAATAAGTTCATAATATTTCTTTACATAAATAAGTCAACACAACTGTTTTATTCGCCCTAAGGTTTTCACTTTGCGTTAACTTCTGTACAAATGGTAACATTTTATACCTTGCTTCTGATTGACTTGAAAGATTATTGTATTTAGTATATCGCAAATCCTTCGTCTCGACGCAGATTAAATTAGCATGCATACCAATGTAGGTTATTATCTCACTTACATCTTTGTTTTTGAAAAGATTATTTTTCAAAGCTCTTTTGGAATTCACGAGTGAAAGTTACCCGGGTTTTGATTAGTTAGTAGCAAATAAGAGTATTGAGTTCGTCTTCAAAACTGTGTGTACCTCATTGGAATGCCGCGACCGACCTATATGTTGATAAATCAAAAGTTCATATAGTCGGGATTAGCAGTTGAAGAGCTTGTTTGTTATGGTGGACTTTGATTTTATGAGGTCATGTTTAAAGGAAAAAATTCAGGCGAAGGTTGTGTTTCAAGTGAAAATCCGAGCAGATGATACAGCGAAAAAACTGTTAAGTCAGAAAGAAAATTTGTCTTTCTCAAATACGCCAAACCACTGAAACAAGAAGGGGTAAAACTGTTCCTTTGACAGATACTCTTTTCGGATCCTATCTTTATTTGGACAAGCCACCTAGTTACGTAACTACTTCGCTGGTACTTATCAGTCATATTAATCCAAGGCACAGGTTAATCCGACTTGGATTAAGTTTCCGCAGTTTTTCCCGTATGTCAGGGGTTTTTTTTCCGGAAGTATTTGGCACCAGTAGTCTGTCCTGCTACACTTGGTATCTCTTGCACGTTTTCCCCCCTATAGGACACCGTGATATTGTTTCCCTGTGCTTGACTTAGCCTCATTCCCAGTTTGGACTTCATTTGATTTTTTTTCCCGCGCATGACGCGAGTTTTGCCTTATTTGGACATCACTTGATTGTTTTCCCTCGCTCGGCGTGGCGTTTTGATCCGTCTGCACACTTTTTGATTGTTTTCCCGTGTTTGACCTAAGATTTTACCCTAATGGACTAACGTTTTTCTGCAGTTATTATGTTGCCACCTAAACTAGGAGCTAAGTCGCTGGTTTGTGCCTCTTATAAGTTTTTTTCTTCCGAAATTTTTCAGTTCGTCACTAGCGATCTGTCTCGATATTCTCCATCTTTAGCTAGTCTTGTTCCATGGCGGTTTATTTTCGCCTTGTTTCTGATTAGCGATCTTACCGAATCAACATTTTGGAGTATCCTTCAAGTTTAAGGCAGTTTAGCATAACACCAAAAAAGATAATCAAATAATTATGAATGAGCTCTTTAAAAGACAGTTTCCTCAACTGTTTTCGCCTTTTACTTATTTATGGCATTTAGTTACCTTATGGAAATCAAACGCAATGTTTTTATTTTTGAATATTTCCGAATCGTATTTAAATGAAGATCCTCAATTGTTCCAATGCCTAATATTGTTTTCCAGATCTTCTTCCGTGCCGGCACTCTTGCTCAGTTAGAAGACGCTCGGGACGAGAAGACCACTGATACCATAGTTGAACTGCAGGCTTTCTGTCGTGGATTCTTAGCGAGGAAGAACTATAGTAAATTACAGGTATGCATGCTTTTCTTTTTGGTCACAGCTTTGAACTAGACGCTTTTGACGTCTCAAGTACCTGATAGACATCACTTTTTCATCGTTACTCTACTGTTACCGGAAATTTCTCGTTTTTCGTCTGATGGGATGTCCTTTTGAAAAAGAAAAAAAAGGTTTTTCTTGTTAAATGAGATGCGACCCGAAGGAACTTTATTACCGTCCTTCGCTACTTCTTTGGCTTTCGCGTCTTCTCAATTGATAAAGGTGAAATGTTTAACCAGGCTTGTCGTGGTTGTTTTTTGTTTTTATTCAAGGATTTCTTTTCCAGGTCCAGGTTTTCTTTAATCCATGATTAGCTTTGATTTGAGATTTTCAAATTTTACCCAACCAAATAAAGAAAATGCTGATCCCCGTCGAACTTTTGAAAACCGTATCTTGTTGTTTGTTTGGCCTTAGGTTCAGTGCACAGCTATCCGTTGTATTCAGAAGAATATTAGACTTTTCTTGGCAGTCAACAATTGGCCTTGGTGGAGATTATATACAAAGGTAATAGTGAATTGAAGTTCTTTAGAAAGTCTATCAAGAGATGGAGGTGGATAATAAGCATGGCGAGGTAAAGGGAACCTGTCCATATGCTGAGGTAAACCTCAATGCTAGAAGGGACTGATTCGGGACAATTGTCTTATGACATGACGAATGTCTTGACTTAAAGCAGCTCCACTTCATTCCCGGAAAAAAAATTTCCACCCGAGTCAAAACCAATTTGTCTCAGGGCGTGAGACTTGTCAGCCGCTAGGGTTAGGGAAGTTTTAACTAATGTTTCTTGAATCGTTCTGTGTTAGAATAAGCCGAGAATTTTGTCCTAAATCAGAGCATTAATTCATATTTTTCACTGATTTTGTGTAGGTCCTCCCATTGTTAAATGTTCATCGAACCGAAGAAGAACTAAAGAGCAAATCGGTGAGTATCCTGGTTTCCTCATGACGATCACAATTATGAACAGTTACTCATGTCGCAATGTATATCAGTGATATTAGGAGCGAGGTGGTAGAGATAGCCAAATGGAGGAGAATTCTGGTTTCTTTAATAGCAGGTTCTCTCGTTGAGTACATTTTTTTTTTGCACGAAAAAAGGAGAGGTTTATGTCTAGCTAACTTTAAACTTTTTAAAACAAGACTTCGTGATTCGGTTTCCTCCACTCTTAACAGGGGTCATTTTATTTCCCGCGCTTAGCGCGAGGTGCACAATTTTCCCGTGCTGGGAGAAATTTGTATATTTCACTTTGAAGTTGCCATTGGCCAGTTGCACCATGTGTGATTGTTGTGATTGGCCGGTCAGGGTCTCTCTGGTGTTGGTCTGTGCATAATATCATATAAAACGCGTTTATACCGCGGCTTGCTTGGTTGGCCTCATGTAAGAGAAATGAAATTCCTAACTATGCCGTCCTCATTCTTTCTACAGGGAGAGGTCGACATTTTGAAATCAAGATTAGCAAAACTTGAAAGGGAAAAGAAGGAATTAGAGGAAGCAAACGAGAAGCTACAGCAAAAGGTACCAAAACTTATTGCATGGAGACATTCAGTAACATTTCCGCAAAATTACTAATCAACAGGCTGGCTTTCATTGCCTTACGTTTGGATGAATATATTTTTTTTTCAAACACGAATTTCCCCCGTATGTTTGGAGGCCGCGTAATGAAAATTTACGTTGATGGTCAAACTTATCTTCAACTTTAATCCTAAATGGATGGTATGCTAAGAACGAAAAAAAGGAAGCGTTTGCCGCACAAAAACATTGGCTCAGAAATTACGAATATTGTGAAAAAAAAGTTTTGATAAAAGAATTATTTTGCGTTAATCTTTTAAATCCATTATGTTATTCGTAATCTGCTCCTCTCTTTTTTTATCTTTTTGTGTCCTCGTTTATGTTTGGTTGGTTGTTATCCTGATTACCTTCCCTCTATTTTTGATTATAATGAAGAAATGTTTTCTCGATTTGACGAAATTTGGTTCATCGCAATTATTCACTCTGACAATGCTCTTTGTAGGCAAGCTTTGTCAAAGTTTTATCTTGGTTTGAAATTAATTGAGATTTATCTTTTAATTAATGATAATCCCTAGATCATTAAAATATAGTTCTTCTCTAAAAATGTCGTTGAATGTCAAACGGATCAGCTAAGAGAACAACGTGATTAGCAAGTAATGGTCACTTTCGTGATTAACCTCTTGATTCTCATAGCAAACGTTTCAAGGAATGTAGAGCGATTAGTAAAGAGAGTTGATATTCTCATCTTCGTCGAACTCTTGTATTTTTTATCTCAAAGATCCTCAAATGGCCCTTTTTGACCTCAAGGAATGTACATGTGTTATGTTTCTTGTCCGAGGTTCTGGTTAATTAATCGTATATACATTAAGTCCCTGCATCGAATTCCTTTGATACCCCATGTGGTGAGCTAAATTACCCTGTGATGCATAAATCGCTTTCGTTCAGGCTAAATCGTCACTGCCAGGTCAAATTTACTGCATTCGATTTTAGGAGATGTTCCTGAAGACTTAGATTAATTGCCAGAATTATGAGGGTCTGTGTATTAACTTTCGTATTGAAATAATTTCTCTGTGATATGCATTTGACGTCGTTCAATATTTCTTTCAGGTAACTGAATTATCCGCTTCTTTGTCCGAGGAAAGAGAAACCGCCAGCCATGCCAGTGAAATGCTTGAAGGCGAAACAATGGAGAGAATGAGATTGGAACGTCAAATGCAGGAACTCCAGGTTTGTAGGATGATTAACGATTCCAGTGGTGTAGAATTGCTCTCTAAGGGACCGTCGCGTTCATTCTGTCACAATAAACAATCGGGTGCGTTCGGCCAATCGATCGTAAATGACTCATAGTAATGTCTCAGGTTTGTGACTTAAAGAAGATATCGATTTCCGCGATTTACTTCACGCACTCTAGACGGTAACAAGGTAATGATATTTTGTAGAAATAAAGTTCCAAATGAGGCATATAGAACTCGTATGGAATTTTGCTTTCGTGAGTCCAGTCGTTTGAATTTTTTTTCCGGTGTAAGATTCTCTTTGCCAATAATTTGATAAGATCAGAAATACATACTCTAATTATGAGGGCTGCTGTTGATGAAAGAGGGCAATATTAAGATACGTTTGTGTGACAAAAAGCAGGATCTCAGCAGTGGACACAAAAACTCGTATCGAATTTTGCTTTCGTCGGTCCTTCCAATTTAATTTTTTTCTGGTGTAAGATTCTCTTTGCCAATAATATGAAAAGATCAGAAATACATACTCTAATTATGGGGACCTCTGTTGATAAAAGAGGGCAATATTGAGATACGTTTGTGTGATAAAAAGCAGGATCTTGGCAGTGGAAAGACGTCCGTGAGATATGATATCGTATCTATCAGTTTCAGTGATGTCAACTACGTGCGACTTTATATGTTGCCAAGCAGTCTCGTGTTTGTCGTTTCAGTTGTGATCTAATTGACCTGTTCGCTGTTAACTCTTGTGATATGACGCCGCCATCGCTTTCTTGTGCGAAAACTAATTAAGTTGAGTACGCCATCTGAAAAAACCTTTGCAATCACTTCTATCAAACAGGACCACAGTTAGTCGAGATTTAACGCTTGCTTCGAAAACATGAGGAAGTCTTTATTAGTTCAAAGCAGTGACGTGACTTCTCTCAGACAATCGCGTGACTTGTCTCGTGACTTATGTTTCTTGAACGTTCGCTCCTGTCTGGAGCCTGGTTATATAAGAAGATTAAGATAAACAAGGTGAACTTCCGGTTTCTCTCAGCCTAGAAGTACATCTGTTCTAAAAACTTTGTTCTGATCGCACAATAAATCGCCAGTTTCTTTTGATTTAATTTATTTTCGTTGATAGAAAGCTTCAGCAGCAGTTACATTCACTTTACGCTGTCAAGAACGGTTTTGTTTTCATTCTTTCTTAAATAAACAATATTTGCTATCTAAACCGTCAAGATTTCCGGATTTCGTGTGGATCTGCGGGATAAATCTATTCAGGCCTTAAATCCGGCCGTGAGAACTCTGGTTTGAAATAACATTTAGAGACAGGCTTCACTGTTAAGTGCATAATGAAATATTATTTATTCAAGGAAATTTTTCGGTTCTCCAGCGCATTGACGAGCGTGTAGATTGCTGAGCAAGTGAACGTAGTGTGTTAGATTGATCGTTAAAACTCTACATCAGCTGGTCACTCGAGATTTAAACAGCTGAAAGCCAAAGGAATTGAATCTGCTTTTCTGGTGAAGTACTTCTCTTCCCTTAAGTCGTGGATCACTTTGGAAAATAAGCTGCAGTCTCTAAGACATGATTACGGCTGAGACGTATCCACAGGTGAATCACTCTTTTTCGTTTCAATAATTCAGTGTTTAATTGCTGGGAAATTAATCAAATTATTTTCATCGCTTAACGACGCCTTTCGAGTGACCATTTCCGTCTCAAACACTTTCGATTGAATATGTGAAAGCACTTTGCTATCTCTTCTTTGAGGCTTACCATTCGAGCGCCTCATGTAATGTTGTCCCTTATTTTAAGCACGAAAGGTTAACGAAATTTTCAAACCGGTAGAGCAATCCTTTTACCAGTTGAGTTTGTAAGAATTCAAACCGATTTTAGGCGGTAGTAGGAGTTTTTACTGGCCGTAAATTTTACTGGTTACTGCCTGAAAGGAGAAGAATACCTGTCTAAACCTTAGCACTAAGGTAAGAAAGAGTTTACAAAGCTGTTTTGAGAGTACAACTATGCCTGAATTTATAGGTGCAAGAATCGTACCACAAATGATAATAAATGGTTCAAGCTGGGAAGAGTCAGCTTGAGAAAACTCCGTAACAAGCGGCATCTTTTTAATTGGAAACGTAATCTTAATATTGTTACGTAATCTTGTGGTGTTTTTTTTTTTTGAATTTTTTTTTTTTGCGGTTAGTTGTTTTTTTTTAATTGTGAGACTTCTGATGAAGTATATTTGATGAAAGTATCTTAAACTCCTATTCCTTTGCCATCGTGTCATGCTTGATTCCATTGTGTCCATTGTGTGCTATTTTGTCCTGCTTGAATCCATGTATTATTAAGTAACTGAGACTGTTGGTGAAAAAATGGCAGAATTATAGCGACATGTTAGGTTCGTTTTGGTTAGATTGTTGGTGTGATCATAGAACTAGATGGATTGTATTACTGAAAGGGTGCCAAAAGAGGATTGTGGGAAGGCGATGATAGCTCAAATCGAACATTTTATTTCAAATTGCTAGCTATTTTCTTTGATTGTTTTTATTGTGATTGTAAACACCATCATCACTTGGTTAACGTGTTAAACAGTGTAAAAATATTTAGAGAGCTGAAACTTCTTCAGTTGCGTGGGAAGATTTCGTGGTACCGAAGTTGTACTGAATTTTCGTCGGTTTTTTTTTCCGCATACAAGCAAATTCTCCCAAGCAGTACAGTAAGGAGACATAACCAGAATTTGTATGCTAAGATCAGAACATTGTGGTTTTACAGGAGTCCTTGGAGGACGTCAAGAAGAGGAAAGACAAACTTGAAGTTGAACTTCTTGAAGCAAGAGCTTTGAGTGTCACCGCCACAAGGAATGTCGAGAGATTGGAGAGGTACGAAGGCGAAGGAGCTTCTGAAGATGAAGAAGAAGGTGAGACAAGCTTAGATTGCTTTTTGAAATGCTACCCAGAAGGTAAATTAATAATGTAATACTAGATGTTAACCCTTGACTCCTAGAAGGCCAGAAGTCATTGACAAGCAATTTCTCCGTAGGATATCAATATATTAGCTAGCAAACAGGTGATAAGAATATCAATTTCATAAGCTAGAATGAGTTATTTCTGAAGTTCTCCTTACCAATTTGCAAGGAGATCCATAGTAGCTAGTAAGGAGAGTTACCAATCAGATCTGGCACCTTTAAGTTCTCCGGTAAGCTTCGTATTGAAACGCTGTGGTTTTAACCGTCGGCTCTGTTCTGTTCTCAATACAGAGTCGTTTTATCGTGAGAGGTACATCCAGGCCTCCAAGGAACATGAGCAACTAAGAAAAAAATTACAAAGTCAGGCCGAGCAAGAGATAGAACAGCTCACCAATCAGAAGCGATTACTGGAAAGGAAGGTAAAGACGACACAGGAGAGGTTTTGTTTCCTTGCACACTTGCCGTTCGCTTGACTTGAACGTTCCCTGACGGCTCATCTATCTCGGTGCAATTGGCCTGTTCTAGGCGTTCAGGTGCGAAATGATAAACGGCGCGGAGGAGAGAAAAAGCGGGGAAGGTTAGGGACGGGTCGCGTAAAGACTAGGCTCGATTGTCAGCCGCTGTTCGGGAATATGAGCCCGCGCTCCACCCCCCAAACCCTTCTCTGGAAGGAGCGAAGACTGTATGCGAGAGAGCGGCGTAAATCGAGCCTACGTAAAGACCAAACCTTCCTCGTTGTTTCACATTGCTTCTTTCGCGCAGTTTGCAGTTTCGCTCCGTTTTATAACCAAACGCCTGGAACAAGCTTCGGTGCGATAAACAGTTACACTACGTATGGTGTGTTAACGTTATTCCCTGATGCGATAGCTGGCTAGAATCAGATATCCACGTTTCCTATAAAACAAGTTGCTGATTTAACACTGATGCCGTATTTGAAATTCTGCTACGTTAGTCACAGTGGTTGGGGACTCTAAGCTTGTAAATTGCTGATTTAACTTGGTTTATGTGCGATTGGTTCTGATTTAGTTGACGGAGGAGAAAGCTGAAAATGAAGAGATACAGCGCCAATCGTTAAATTTGAAGAAAAAGACATCTCGAGTCCAGTCAGAAATGGAAGATTTGAAACTTCTGTTGGAAGAAGAACAAACTAGAAATGCCGAATTGGAGAAAAAGCAACGAAGGTATGGGACTCAGGCTTAAAAAGCAAAGAGAGCAACAGACACTAAGGAAAAACTTCATTGATTAGATTGTTAGTTAGACAAGTAAGTCTGCTTAGTCAGTTTGTAATGTGGTGATTATAGAATTAAAAGGTATCAGGACGTTTCACTCACAGCAAATTCTCCCACTGCCACCTTTGCAAGTTTGCCCCCTGAACTGTACCTGTTCGGTTTTTTAGGGTTTCGTCCTGCTGCAAGTGTCTTCCCCTATCACCTGCGAGTTTCGGCCTCACCTTTATCAGTTCGCCATTACTTTTTTAACTCGTTACCTTGCCATAAAGGCATCGTTATAGCTGGGGCGAAGCAACCAGTTTACAACTTAAGTGGAAAGAAAAATGACTTATTTTTAATACTTTAATTTTTTAGGTTCGACACGGACAGTCAGCGTTTCAAAGAAGAGCTGAACCACGAAAGAACATTAAAAGAGAAAGTCAGTCGCGAAAAGGATAAGGCTGTCACGGAAAAATTCCAATTAGAACATGAATTGTCGGTATGTTGTTTGTGTGATGTCTTTACCTAGAGATAAATTTCCTCCGCCTTTGGTTTGCTTTCTTCAAGCGGTAAATAGACTTTCTAACCGTCAGACTTAGCAATTTCCATTTTTTCCTTTTTATCATCGAGTTTCAGGTTCTTATTGTACGTTATGGAACTATTTTTCCAGCTACCTTTTATGACTAACGAGAGCCAGCTAAGGGCATTTGGGAATAAAGAATGTATGATGGCAACTATAACAGCTCAATTTCGGCGAGGTTTGCAGACGAGTTTGGCCTCCTAAATTGACTAAACAAAACACACGTTGATATTGAGAAGTGCAATAATTAACAATTGTTCACCGTAGTGGAGGCGAATAGTGGTGGATATTTTACTGAGCCGCAAAGCGACGAGGTAAATATCTACCACTTTCACCGACACTGAGGTGAATAGTTATTTTAGTATATACGACACAGATACTAAAAAAACTAGTTTACCTCTTTCAATATACCAAAAAATAGGCGGAATTTAAACACTTGACGCGCGATTTTCGTCTCATGGGCTGCACGGTGGTGAATAGTACTTGCTATTCACTATCGAAATAGCCAATGAACGCGCGTGAAAAGCACTATTCACGTGTGTGGTATATACTAACTATAGATACTGATCTTTATCTAACGGTATTTACAGGAAACTCGCGAAGAACTGGAGAAGGCCAAAAAAGAGCTGACACAAATTGAGGGCGATATGGATGATATCACTAAACAAAAAGGAGGAGACGTGAGTTGTATACCAAGCCCTTTCTATTTATGTATTGTTTATTTAATTATTGTGTTGGTGTCTTTTCTTACGAGATATGTAGCGGTCTAGCTCTTCGTTGTGCTGTTGATTAACTCGCGAATAAGTAAAGCATCTCGGTCTCTCCAACTAACCAACTTAAACATGCAAAGTCGTTTTCGATCTTCTGGTGATCACTTGAAACTTTCGATCGTTTTGTTCGTCCTGTTCCGGTTTTGTTCGACTTCATTTCTAACTCCACGGCCGACTATCCGCGTAGCCACAGCTTACACGCTCTTTGTCGCTGCTTGGTCTTTTCCAGGCTGTTGCATTGAAGAAAACCATCAGAGAACTGGAGGAAAAAGTTCAGGATCAAGAAGAGGAACTTGACGATCAGGCTGGAAAGATCCAAATGCTTGAACAGGTATCAGTAGTATACTCGGCTAGTCAATGGTTTCAAATAGTATGCATGCGTCAAGAAAAATCAAGTTACAAGTTACAGTATACCTGGGAAATTTGTTCTTTCTCTATTATTCTGGAAATTAATGGAAAAATTTGAGGTGGGAAATTTGGGGGTGCAGGAAACTTCAGGCGGGACGCTGAGCTCTAACTTTTGGCGGAAAACAGTTAAAAGGTGTGATGGAAGCAGAGAACTTAAGGCGAAATAAATCTGAAAACCTCGACGTATGCAGTGAATTATGGCGGGAAAAAAACTGTCAGACAGACGCGGTTTATAAATTTTTATCGGGTCTTCCCTCCCCCCCCTTCCGCAAAATAAATAATATTTTCGGGGGTGGGGAGGGGGGATTTTCGCGGTTTCTCAGTAAACATCGAGGAAGAAGCTTACCGTTCTTTCATCATTTTTTAAATTATTTTTTAAGGCCAAACTTCGTTTAGAAATGGCTGCGGAGCATGACAAGCATATGGTACATAAGGATTTAGAAGCGAAAGACGAAGAAATGGAACAGCTTAGATTTAACATGCAGAAAAAGGTAAAACGCTATATAAAATAGCACTATGGTGTGGTTTGTACTGTACTTTGCTACTTTGTGTAGAAAATCTCTTCCGTTTTTCTAAATTTCAAGTTACAATTTTTTCTCTTCCTCTTCCCCCTTCGTATTCTTTTTGTATTCACGCGCGGCGCGCGTGATTTCACAAATTAGCCAATCACGTCAAAGAACTCTAACCTTGACCTTGGAAAACTGACGTGGACATTTTCGCCTAGATTTATTTTGTTTTCGCGGAGTTTTAGTTCGTTGTTTTTGAGCTTTCGTTCGTGTAAATTTGTTACTCCTTTGTTTGAAAGTTAAAGAAGTTTTGAAGTTTTTATTTAGCCATATGTTGAGGTTCATTTAACAAGTTTAATACATATTTTCTACGGAGTTTGGACTCTAGTCTCTTTTTTTCGTAAATGGATTATTTACATGGTGCCGATACTCGGGAATGTCGACTCACAGAAGAATTCACTCACTCTGGAAAAATGGCTGATGAAGAACTGAAAAAGAAGAGAAAGATCCGAGAAGGACATAAAGGATACGTTACGACGACTTTGGAAAAGGTAAAAGCCTTACTCGATGAATTTGAACCTCCTCTGGCGAATCAATTGAGAACTTATCGGATTGCTCTTACGGAAAAACTCAATGTTCTTGGAGCCCTGGACGACGAAATTCTGGCTATAATAACAGAAGAGCACATCGAAGATGAAATCAAGGGAACTGGAAATTTCAGAGAATCTATTCATCAAATGATGGTGGAAATTGACGAAACTCTCAACGCAGTTGAACTGGAAAAGGCCGGAAATACAGATAAGTTAATTCCTCTCTCTAATTCTAATTCGTTGAAATTCCATGGTGATCTCATTTCCTTCAATCCATTCTTGGACTCATTTGCAAGTGCAATCGATGACAACTCTGGTTTATCAGATGTTGACAAATTCAATTATTTGAGAAATTTGTTCGAATGGCCAGCCGCAGGAGCCATTCGAGGGCTACCACTCACAGCAGAAAATAACGAGTCAGCTAAAGCCATTCTAAAGAAACGATTTTGGCAACCTCAAGTAGTTGTTAATGCTCACATGGAGGGAGTAGTGAAAGTATCAGCTGTAAGCGCGGACAATGTTTGAGACGCCTACGCCTTCTTTGTGGTCGAGTTGAAGCACACGTTCGAGCTTTACAAGCCCTGGGAATAAACTCTGAATCGTATGGGAAGCTTTTGATTCCCCTTTTCATGGAAAAATTACCTCTGAATATGCGCTTGATAATTTCAAGGGCCGCGGATCAACCAAAATGGGACTTGGCTGTTTTACTTAACGCCTTCGACAATGAAATTGCGAGAGAGCGATGCGAGCCGATTGGAACAAACCCGACCAATCTTCCTACCTCTAAGAAGCCTTTCTCAGTGCCGTCAAGAAAAGGTAAAGAGTTTTCGTACGCTTCAGCACTTATTAATCAGTCTGAGGAATCTGTAACCTGTACCTTCTGTAAGCGAGGGCACCCCAGCGCGAGTTGTGGTGTTGTCACTGATATCGAAGCCGGAAGAAACCTGTTGAAACGAGAGGGCCGCTGCTTTATTTGTTTACGTCGCAACCATTTGGCAAGGAAGACCGCATTTGCTCAGAAAGACATCACATGCAAATTTTCGTGAAAGCCAAAGCAGTCGTGTCATCTCGGAAAATGCCGCTCAAGGAAGTAATGTAACGACCAATGAAGCAAATCGCCGAGAAAACAAATCCTCTACGACGGTATACGTAGACTCAAACATGTCAATTTTGCTGCATACGGCCAACGCCTCTGTGTCACGGATCGATGAGCCTCATTCTGCTGTAACTATACGCATTCTACTTGACAGTGGCAGCCAGCGGAGCTACATTTCCGAACGAGCGAAAGAAAAATTGGGTCTGTTCCCGAAGAGAAAAGAGAAGCTGCTAATCAAATTGTTAGGACAAGAAAACGAAGACTTAAGAGAGTGTGGCATTGTCGAATTCTGTGTCAGAGGATTGAGTCAAAGTTCAGGCGTTCAGATGACTGCTCATATCGTCCCTCCTATCTGCAGTCCTTTGGTGAATCAAGCCGTACAGTTTGCTCAACAATCATACAGTCATCTGGTAGACTTGAAACTCGCAGATCAACCATCCGAAGACTTTGGTTCAGCAGTAGATGTCTTAATTGGCAACGATTTCTATCGGTCTTTCTTCACTGGAAACACGGAACGGGGGGAATCAGGACCTGTGGCGATGAAGACGAGTCTTGGATGGGTCTTACCTGGTCCTTTGCCCCAAACACCAGGTTCAGATACTGATGTTCATTTGGTCACAAGCCATACCTTGCGGCTAGACACCTCCTCATGTGACGACACTATTATCGAAAAGAGAATTTGCGTCCCGCTGCTGGACAAGAGAAAAAATTCTGGGAGTTAGAAGCTATCGGTGTGTCAACACAAGAAGAGACAGTGCATGAGAAGTTCTTTGATACCCTTCATCTCAACAACGGCCGCTATGAAGTCTCTCTTCCTTGGAAAGAACAACACGCATTACTTCCGGATAACCATGCCCAAGCCGTTTCTCGCCTGCCTTCTGTTCTAAAACGTCTAAGAAAGAATCCTGGACTGTTTGAAGAGTACAACCGCATCATTGAAGAGCAATCTTCGCGAGGAATAATCTCCGATGTCGATCCCGACATACCAGTCGAACTTGGTCACGTTCATTATTTACCGCATCATCTAGTTGTGCGCGAAGTTGTCCAACTCCTCACTTGAAGGCAGCGTTATTTGTCTATACTGCTTGGTCAATTTTGGAACCGTTGGAAACGTGAGTACGTGGTGGATCTAAGGGAGCACCACAGGCCTGCTAATGAAGGTGCCGGCGTTGCACAATCAGTTGCACCAGGTGATGTTTTCACCGTAATGGAAGAAGAGAAGTCAAATCGTAGTACTTGGAAACTCGGAAGGATTGCGGAGGTGCATCCTGGAAACGATGGTTTCGTTCGAGGAGCCACTGTGAAAGTTGCTTCGGGCAGTTGCAAACGAAAACGCCTGAGACGACCCTAAAAAATTTTTTGCGCTAGAAGTTCGAGAACTAGGGGGTTCGGAACACGTTCCAGCAAGACTGGAGGCAAACACTTGGCAATGGCAGGGGAGGAGTGCTGCTATCACAGGAGAAGTTAGAAGACGAGAACTCGATCAGTTTCTTCAAGGACAAGAGGACTCCTTTTAAAGGAAAACTGATCGAGGGGGGGGGAAGATGTAGAAAATCTCTATCGTTTTTCTAAATTTCTAGTTACAATTTTTCTCTTCCTCTCCCCCCTTCGTGCCTTTTTGTATTCACGCGCGGCGCGCGTGATTCCACAAATTAGCCACTCACATCAAAGAACTCTAACCTTGATATTGGAAAACTGACGTGGACATTTTTCGCGCAGTTTTAGTTTGTTTTCGCGGAGTTTTAGTTGTTTTTGAGCTTTCGTTTGCGTAAATTTGTTACTCTTTCTTTGGAATTTAAAGAAGTTTCGGAGTTTTTATTTTAGCCAAATTTTGAGGTTCATTCAACAAGTTTAATACATATTTTCTACGGAGTTTGGACTCTAGTCTCTTTTTTCGTAAATGGATTTTTTTTACACTTTGTGTTCTTTTGCAGTACTCTGACTAAACAATGTTGAAGCTTTTTATCTGTTACTTATCTTAACCCTATAACCCTTAAGAGTGACTAGCATCTAATTTCTCCTTACAATATCACCCTTGAATCAAACATTAAGGTCATGAGAATAAAGGAAATGATTAACAGGTACAGGAGCTCTTGATTGTTAAGTGACAAATTCTCCCTATCAGCACCTCAGGAAGTGTATAGAGAACAGTATGGAGAATATGCATACTGATATAAGGGTGTAAAGGGTAAAGTGCAAGGTAATGAGTGAATAGCAGCTAGGTTGGGTGATGTTTTCATTTGACTGACCTGGTGTTAGTGAGCTGACTCGACGGAGTTCATCCTCATCAAATCCCCACTCCTCTCTTCTTTATGTTAATTCAGACCTTCAGCTTGCATTCGACAACTTACTACTGTTTGGTCTTGCGTGGAATCAGATTTCAACCCCACACCTGAAAAAAATCTGTCTTTTAAAATTCACAGGTCAAGCAACTCGAGGATCAACTGGAAGATGAATACCAAGAAAAAACGGCCGCTGTTAAGGTAAGCCGCTCTCGCCACTGGTTGCCTGAATGACCGTTTTTAAAACTTTCGCTTCTTAAGAATTGTAGCTCTTCATTTAGCTCTTTATTTAGCCAGTACCAGCCTTCTTACTTATGCTTTTTAGGTAATCCTCCACCTGGAGGTAGTTTTGAAGGCTATGTGTCAACCTTCATAAACCTCCTGATTCCTTTTCAGGCCAAACGAGAAGCCGATAGACGCCTTGAAGAACTCCGCGATCGCTACGAACAAGGCAATGCGGAAACGGAGAGAAAACTGAGACGAGAACTGAAGAAGACGAAAGCTCTTCTGCGTGACGCTCAACAAGTGATTGATTCTCAGGTTTGTAATCACCCGCCACTTCCCTTGCCCATGTCCTTTGCCCTTCCTCTTCCTCTTTTAGGGAATCTCGTGCAATTTTTTACTCGATAAATGTTGGTTTTCTTCTTTAAACTTTCATAGCATTCACGGTGCCAGTGGTGCTGTGTCCTACTGACTTTCGCTTTGTTTTTCTTTTTAGTCTCAGAAACTTCCGAAAGAAAGAAATCAGATGAAAGCTCTGAAAAACCAGGTGATTTTTTTTTTTAAAGATTTAGCACGGTTTTCTCTCAAGGGATAAGTTACCTCAGAAGGAATAGTGACTCCGATGGCAAAGAATCCACCCCAAAAACAGCTGGGAAACAAAGCTATTGTGTTGGTTTTCCTCAACTTCGTTTTCCTCAAGCTTGCGTGCTTGATTTGTTTGAAATGGGAACTTTGATCCCTTTACTCTCTAGATTTCCAAGGCGACACTCTCTTCTGGCCACTATCGTGAAATTTGTTGAAATAGAACATGTTTTTCATCAAAATAACACTCTGCAGCTGAAGAGTCTGTCTTCTTTATCGCCAGTTTGACAATTTTAAAAGTTACGTGTTTATCTGTTGTGGATTTCAACCCTTTTCACTCTGACATCAACATCTATATTCTCCATACTGTTCTTCGTACATTTCCGATGGCACTGACGAGGAGACTTTAGTTAAATATCAAGAGCTTTTCAAGTTTGCAATCATTTCATGAATAATTGTCAGTTCATGTGAGCCACAATTAAACCTTGAATCTTTATTTTAGTTGGAGGACGCAGAATTTACCGCTCAGTCTGCTCAGAAAAGCAAAAAGAAACTGGAAGAGGACGTCGCTGACCTACAGAACCAGCTGGAACTCTTGAGCAAGTCCAAGAAAGAGGTAGGCCCATTTGTATGGTCTCGGGAACCCGAGGCAACCCTTCCCCTGAGTTACCCAGGCTGTTTTAAATTTTCACTCATTCAGATGGAAAGAGAAACCTAGTTTGTTTGATGTTAAGGTGCAAGCTCAGTTTTAAATTTTGTTATTTGTCTCTCAGCTCGAGACGAAGTACATGACGACGCTAAAAGAAAACACTGAATTGCAAAGTAGAGTGGAGGAAGACGAAGATGACATCGATTCACTTACAGAGAAAAACAGACAAATTGGAAAACAGGTTTGTGTTGCGTATTGTCGTTGATGAGATATCGTCAAATGATATTTATTTCAGTCACTGCCGCTAGATCATGGAACGCAAGTTTCACATCCTCTTAAAATACTCATTTATTTCGGAACCACTTCCTTGCTTGGTAATTTTAACCACAGGGGTTCGTAATAACCTTGTATAGCACTTTTAACTTTTGCATGAGTATGCCCATAGAAATTATTTCTAACCATCTAACCATTGTAACTAGATCTTTTATAACTTGCTTGTTATAACTAACTTGTCTTTTTTCTATCAGTACATGTTGATGAGGGATTCGTAATGTAATGCTATATATTTTGTTATCATTATTAAAAGATTGTGAATGTCATTGATATATGGTTTATCAGTGCCTTTTCGCTGAATTTCAGTTAAACAAAGTACATTCGGTACCATGGCTAACTTTCCGTTTTAAGTTTGCCAACCTGGTCTATTATGTGATATCGTAACTAAAATCTAAAAGAAAATCTTAAGACTTATTGTAAGCTTTGACTTGAATTGTTTCCATGATTGGAGGGACTTGTGTAAAGCGTCTTCCTTATTATCACGTGTATCTCCGATCTTGATCAACTGTGAAGTTCCTTTTTCATCTCGTAGCTGGCTGAGGCTCAACAGATGCTACGTGAGCGGGAGGCTACCATTCAGGATATCACCACTCAAAAGGAAAACTTGGAAAGCAAGGTGAGTCACACTCCGCTACTATTTCATGCCCGAAGCTCATTTGCGCGGGGTTGAAGGGATTGTGGAAAAGCAGTTAACGACGGCTTTGGTTTTACTTGGCTTTGTTCTGTGATTGGTTGAAAAAAGAATGCAAAAAAACAAACAAACAAACAAAAAAACCACTTTTTGTGTTCATTTGGGCCGCAGTCATATTTTTCTTTGTTTCGATTGGCCAACGTGATTACTTTGGTTTTGGTTGTACGACGTGCAATCGAATAGCGTAGTTAGTGTAACCCGTTAACGTTATCTTGTTAGCTTCGTTGTTATAAGCTTATCCCTCTAACTTCGCTTGTCCCTGTTACCCGAGAACGCTGTGCATGTAATTGCCTCCCCAAATTAGAAAAGGGCAGTAGTTTACCGATGCTGCCTGACGTAAAGAGAAAGAACCTCTCGTTGCTTGTGTGGTAGAATCTACCGACACTGTGAGACAGTCCTGGCGTGCCACGCCTCGGTCACGTACCGCTAATAATGGTCTTCTTTTTCCTTGTAAAGGTTGACCACATGGCAAACCGTCTTTCGTATTTGGAAGAGTGCACAGTTGAAAAACATCAGTTTGACCAAATGGAGAGCAAGGTATTCATTGCTACATGAATGAATCATGATTGGTAATTATTGAAGAATGTCTGTTTGGCTTACTTCTGGTTTTTATTTTTCATTTCCAGAGAAGGGAACTTGCAACGCAGTTGGATTTGGAGGGATCATTCAAAAAACGACAAGAGGTGCAGTGGTTTCGTTCATTTCTTTTTTCGTAGCTTGTCGGTAGTGATCTTTTTAGTTTTTGCTTTGACTCCACTTATCGGAAATCTTGCGGAGCTTTACGAAAATTTTTCGAAATCGCGTCTCTTTCCCACAATTGTTTTCGCGTTTTTACTTGTCAGACTTGTGCAAGTAATGTGTTATTTGATCTTTAGGTTCAAGTCAGTCGACTAAAGGAGCAAGTTCAAAAACTAAACGACGAAAAGGAAGATCTGCAGCTCAGAGAAAACAAACTCATTCAGGAGAACTCCAGGTACTCGCATCTCGTCTATTTAGTATCTTCTTTCATGTTTTAGGCTGTATACTTTTTTGATCACTTTGGTCTCAGTCATTCTATTTGATCAAACTTAAATGGTCCTCTCTCCTAATCCGTCACCAGCTATTAAGTCCTTTGCAGTTATCAACTGCATGCTTCGTAAAACAGCTCGGTTGAGGGGGTATTGAGCTAAACAGCCATGTCCCGCAAGTTGGATGTCTGACGCGCAAATTTGCTCTCTAGCAAGGAATTTTATGCGTTTACTGCTACCCCAAAAAGCTCCTCATCCACTGGGTTTTTTTCCAGGTTTTTTTACACGCTTTTACTAATACACATGAAGTCTTCTAAAGCAGCGATACTCTTGAATGTTCATGTTGTACCTCTCTCGCATCTCTAGGTTGGATCGACAAATGCGTGAGTTAAAGGAGGAGATGACTTCCCTCTCGAGACAAGAAGAGGATCATAAGAAAAGAAAACTTGATGCTGTGAGTCTCTTTCGAATCGTTTCACTTCTTAAGGCGATCACCTTGGCACTTATTAAGATATTATTCTGTATATCTTCGATTGTTTGTCATTTTTTACTCCTGTGTTGACTAAAATATCACTGGTAAAGTCTTAATGAAGCACTTAACTCTTCTTCTCAAATTGTTTTTGTTTCTTTGAAATTTTTAGGAACGAGAGGTTGAAAATTTAGAGGGTGTTGTAGCAGGCCTAAAGCAAGAATTGGGAATGGCAAAGAAACGCGTCAGCGAATTGCAGCACGCTTTGGAAGATGACATGCATTACGACTCGGAAGGAATGTCGAACGACGACGACTACGGCGATGACGACGACGACCTCGACATGAGTGATGAATCCGACGAGTTCAAAGACACTGGGTCACGACGGTCAGAGCCGAGGTCATATCGATCGTTCGACGAGCTTGACGACGAGTATGACATCACTGATCGACTGAAACGAAAATTGGACGATCTTAGTGACGATGTACCTTCTTCTCCTAGAGGGTCACGACCTGTTAATGATTCTGTGGATTCCAACGTGTTCGAGAGCTCTCGGAAATTCGATAACGTCAGTGACACGCGAAAAAGCAATCGTAAGGAAAGCGGAGAGGATCGCCATCATCGGCGGTCACGATCGGGTACCGACGAACATGATACCAGTGTCGATAAGAAACGAAGGAAGAGCGATGATAAAAGAAGAAAAAGTCTTGAAAAGAAAAAAAGTTTTGAGAGAAAATCCAACTCCACGGATAATTCTATACATTAATGAGAAGACAGAACAGATGACTGTTGTATATGATTTTTGTTGTGAACAGGATTTTACGGCGTTTTGGAACAGAGTTTGAGGCTGAATTGTGTTATTAGGCGATGCAACCGCAGATGTTATTGTTGAAGTTGTCACTTAAACAGTGCCATATTAGCCAAAATATGGCGTTGAACTCGTTGAACACATGATCAAACATGGCTTCAAGACTCAAACTACGTCAGGATTAGGGGATAGACTCAGCTTTTTCATTTTTTTTTAATGCTGTGTAAGATATCGAAAACTCATCAAGGTGAATTGCCGGTCGCCAGCTTCAAATACAGTTCTTCTGGTTAATTAGTTGAGACTATGCCCAAAACTGAAATCGAAGAATTAACAACATTACTCGACAACCTACTTTAAATAATTTAATACTTGAGTTTTGTTTCATACGAACAGTCTCATCTGTGCCTCATGTCTGTTCTGGTTCTTGGATAACATGTTAAGGTTTGTTTGTCAGTAATAGACGGTACGGTGGTATAAAGGTTATGGTTAAATGGTTATATTTAAATACTTTGGTTCTATCTCGTTCTCTCTTTTAAACATTTTAACCAGTGTAAACTTTTCATGCTCAAAATTTCGTGCTATTTCTTGACATTTATTTAATCGCATCTACTTTATTGTTTTTCTAATTTATGGAAGTTTCCGTGTCAACTCGCATCGTGGCATGTTGACAATACCACTTGTTCACTTTGACAAAATTAATCAATCACATCATGGGAAACGGGCAGTGGCTCTAACTAAAAACTATAGAGCTTGGCACTAAAGCCAGCAAAAGATGGTTAAAAGATTCAAATAGATTTGATGGTTAGTTCCTTGTCATCAATTTGGTCAGTGTCGAGTAAGTGACCTCGCAGTATAAGTTGTCGCGCTGAAAAACTTACTTTCATTATTGTACGTTAGAAGTGAGTCGCCTGTGGTAAATGTCGTATCCATTAACTCCTATAAAATGCAAACCCACGTGATGAGTTCTTGGAAGAAGATTTTGCGATACCAATAAACGAAGTTATATACTGCTGATGATCCAGATAATTTTTTTCAAGTTGAGAAGGTTATTTGTGCATCTCACGTCTTGTCAACTTGAAGCCAATCTCAAGTAGCAATAAATTTTGCAGCGTGTGCGTCTGTTAAATGAAAGATTGCTCTCATTGGAAAGGTGACGAGATAAAAACTTAGAGTTTCACAGATAAATTAGGATGGTTGTAAATGACAGATTAATTATGTTGCACAAAACTTTTTTGGTATATACAAATCACTTGAATATATTTTATATTAGGGCTGAACAGATTTAATTGTGGTAGAGTAGTTATTTTTGTAAGGCTTCCTGCGTGTCTTAACGCTGGCTGTCGACTGGGATCTGATGGGTGTACATAAAGATACTGGCCTACACGTTCATGTTGTGTTAGTATTTTATTGTTGTGGGGGGCTGGAGGCGCGCGATGTGTGAGCGAGGAAGGCGCAAGGGTCGAGTCTCGCACGATAGGAGCTGTGAAAAAAACACTCGATCGCGCTTGCTGATCCGCTCGCGTGAAAACGACACCGCTGGAAGGGAGATAGATCCACGCCTTAGGAAAAATGTTGTAATACTGGAAACCTGTAAGGAATAAAAATCCTCCATCATCCTCCTCCTTCCCCTAGCCAAAGAGTAAATTATTAAGTGCCGAAGCTCTATCCTACGTGTAGCCGTACCCTTTCCCCCGCCAAGGTGAAACGGAGGTTCCCTCGCCTCCAATTCACCTTGAAGGGGAAGGGGACGGCTACACGTAGGCTACCGAAGCTCACCATTTTCCCGCCACATTTATTGTGTTGAGCAATGAAATTCGTTGGAGATGTAAGATCTGTGCGTGGCTTCATAATTTCTGAATTAAAGGATTACAGACATGATCAGCGCCCTAAATAGGTAGTTTTAGTACCTGAAAAAATAATTGCCTCCCTTGATGTTGACTGAATTTGACAGTTAGTGTACGCGATCGTGTGGAAATCAGCTGTCGATCCGGGTTCTTGCAAATCAATCTGCAAATAAGATCTGGTGAGGTATAACAGATTTAGGCGAGGTCGCTAAATTTTCTCAGAATAACCATGACGCTGTTCGAGCCTCTTGCAAACGTGAACGATATCTAAGGACAAGGTAAAGGAAATGGAAATGTACGTGTGGCATCGGTGATGCAGTATTCGAAGCACTGTGAGCGATCTTAAGTTCGATCTTGTGCCTTTTTTGAACGATCATGTCGGGTTACGGAGCACCTTCAGTGGCCATGGCGCCCTTTTTGAACGAAAGAAAAGCAATCGAAGATTTGACGAGTCTTCTTAAGCATATTGACGACAAAGGAGAGCTTAAAGATCTTCTGGAGAATGAAAGTCAGCTCAATGAACTAATCGCAGATAATGAGGAGGTTTGTTGTTCAGTTTGTGCATGTTTGTATCGTTCGCTGATGGGATATTAATCCGTTTTTTCCTTGTTAAATGTCGCATTCAAATGTTTATCTTCCATAAATTTAGCATGGTTGGTTTTTTCGATCTTGCTTACAAGAGTTCTTCCAATCAAGTGGCCACATCGCTATCGTTTCCTCTCTTTCGAACCTAAATGTAGCGTTGTACGATTATATGTAATTCCACTTTTGAAGTACTGGTTGTACAAACGGAATCGAAGAGTAACGGACATTTAAATAATACGGTTTTTATGGAAAGGGGGTTTTTAGTAATGCATAGACGGCTGCTTCAAGTCATGTTGTAGCTTTTTTTAATATACTGTCACAAAATATAGTTTGGTTTGTTGCGTGTGATTCGATTGTGAGCAGAGCGATCGTTCACTGACTAAACTAGACGCAAAAATCCCACCAGTGGCCTGTCCTGACAGCTGCATATAGATTTGGAAAGTTAGAATTGTCAGGGATGTCAGTAGAGAATGTAATAGATGTATGATCTGAACTGAGTGGGTGGCTGAATTGAATTATTCTTGAGTAGCAAGCATGGCGTGTTGAAAAGGAACTTTCTTGGGGTCAGGTGTGG